AAAGTCTTTAACTGTATTTAAATCAACGGTATTCTACCATTTAATACCATTTTTGTTCGATTGTTTTTACAGACGATATAGTGCATCTACCATCAAAAACGTTTAGTTATTTATTTATTTTTTCGAAAGTGGAGTCGTTATTTCAAAGTTGTAAAGACGTTGACGTGGTTGCTTTTAGAGCCAAACTGAAGGAACGGTGATGCACAAAGCTGAACTCCTCTTTGGGAATCTGTACTCTCATGAGTTTGCTTTTTAGCTTTGAGGATTAGCGTTGAACCGATTCATAAATACAGTCCTTGTGTATTTTAGAAGAAGCCAAACCCATCTGATCGCAGCCATTTTTTTCTGCTGATGCGCACACAGTCATCCTGCAGAAACGATCCTCTAAGACAAGAGGTTCTGCCTCCAACCAAGGGTCAGAAGATAAATCTGATGGGTCACAACATGACCACCGGGGGAGAACAAAAAGGGAAAGACATATTACATTTCTCTTCATAACTTGACTCCAGTATTTGACTTTCTGATAAATAGCAGGAGGAGTTTAGAGTTTCTGGCCTCCAACAGTTTGAGGTCAGAAGGTGGAGAAACAGGGGAGCTGCTTCTTGTCTTGTTGGACAACTCTCTCTTTTTCTGTGTATTCGGCAGCCGCTTAGCTTAGCGTAGCATCGAGACAGGACACTGAGGAAAACAGGTGGTTTGAATGATCAGAGCTTATTTTTGGCAGCACGAGGGAGTCCTACACGATACTACATGGCTGGTTTTAGAAAAGAGTCAGGTAAATATTTTCAATAAATAAGATTGTAGAGTTGTAACTTAATATTTGTAACACCTCCTCCTTAATATTTATAGCCCCAAACATTTATATATAAAACCATACTGTAGGGTCAAAACTTAATATCTAAATTAGTCCAGTAAATTTGTGTAATAAATAATATTATAGGGTCTTAACCTTCATATGTTAATGAGTCAGATGAATTTCTTATAAATAACACTGCAGATTCAAAACTGTAATACTTAATTAGTCAAGAACATTTGTATAATAAATAATATAGTCGAGTCTTATCTTTAATATTTAAATTTAGTCACGTAAATTTGTACTATTTTTCTATTTCTTTATTTTAAAAGCACTTTGGATCAACACCTGTTGTTTTAAATGTGCTCACTTTATTGTGACTTGGCTTGAATATTTAACATACTTTAATATTTTGTGTAAATAAATAAAAAGTCTGTGAGACAACTCTCTATGTATGCAAATATAATAAACAAATGTTCCCTATGTGTTACATGTAACATTAACACACCTAAAACAAAACCTTACATCATGAATTTTAATTACAGTTCTCTTGAAATCCTTCATTTAGACGGAACAAATGTGTAAAACTATGACGCAGGAGTGTTAAATCCACGCGGGTCGGTATGATTTCACAAAAACGAGGACCTTTCATGATTAAAAGCGAGACTTTTTAGAAACATTTCACGCCCGTAAATTGTGAACCTGCTCAGATGTGAGACCTTTGAAGGCTCCGCAGAGACTCTGACGGATGATGTAATGAGGCTGAAGCATCAATCGGACACTGAATCAAACAATTTTTCTCTTTCTCTGCCTTCATCTCCGTGTCTCTCTCCGTCTCGCTGCTGATCTGTCGATCTTTTCGCAGAGAGTTTGCTGCATCGCAACGCTCTGCCGTTACCATGGCAACTATGGGGAACAAGAAGAAAGGCAAGTCGCTTTTTTTTTTTTTTTTTTCCTCCTTTTTCTTTTTTTAAACATCTTCTGCCGTAGCTTCAAATTCAAGACAGATGTGGCGACGCTGCGACGTTAAGAGTCCGTCGCTGGGGAGAAATCTGACAGACGGACAGACGAGAAGCTGTGAACTCATCACACACACACACACACACACACACTGTCTCTCTCTCTCTCTCTCTTTCTCGCTTATGTTCAGTGATGTCGCACGCCCACCGTTCTCAACTCGTTTTCTGTCATTCTTCAATCCTCGCTCCGTGCCAGCATCACCACGGCAACCGGGCGACCACACTGATGCCTGTCAGTCTCGCGGCGGCTCGCTGATCCCCCACCACGCCATCACCCATTATCAATAGTGCTATTACATCACCAGCAGCAACATTACATCATGAGCCGGCTGACTGTGTGTGTGTTGGTGTGTGTGTGTGTGTGTGTGTGTACTCACATTCCTCTCAGCCGGATCAGCACCTGGTTGTTGTGGTTCTGCTCCACAGCGTCCACAAAGTCCTCGGTTTGCTGCGCCTCCTTCTGCTGCTGCTGCTGCTCAGTCTGCTGGTCCTCAGACTGTGGCATCTCCTCACTCTGCACCTCCTCCTCCTCCGGCTGCTCCTCCTCCTCCTCAGACGGCTGCAGCTCTTGACTGTCCTGCACCTCCTCTTGTTGCACCACCTCACTTTCTTGCACCTCCTCCGTCTGCTGCACCTCCTCTTCTTGTTGCATCTCCTCAGCCTTCTCTTCTACTTCTTCTTCTTCTTCTTCTTCTTGCAGCTGAAACTCTTCCTGCTCTTTCTTTAGCACCTCCTGAAACAGTCTGTCCTCCTGTTGCTGCACCACCTCCTCCTCCTGTTGCATCTCCAGCTGCTGCACCACCTCCTCCTCTTCTAGCTCTCCCACCTGCTGCTGCTGCTGCTGCACCTCATCCAGGTTTCCCTCCTGTTGCTGCTGCTGCTCCTCCTCTTCCTCCAGATCTTCCTCCTCTTGCTGCTCCTCCTCTTCCTCCAGATTTCCCTCCTGTTGCTGCATCTCCTCCACCTGCCGCTGCACCTCCTCTTGCTCCTCAGCTTCCAGCAGTTGCCCCTCCTGGCTCATCTCGCTCAGGGTTCGCACAAGTGTTCACAGAGCAGAGTTTGGTCCCGGTGGAGAGTCCCGACGTCTCTCACAGCCACGGAGTCGTGAAAACATCGACGCCGATCGCAGCCGAGATCGCTTGAGTTCGATGAAACTTCATCCAACTTCCTGTGATGTCACCTGACGAAGCCCGGCCAATCCCAGCTGATGGCCGATCCGTAAAGGAAGCGGAGGGGGTTAAAGGTCACAAGAATTTGAAAGTTGCAAAGGCAGAAACGGGGAGAAAGAACGAGGCGATGGGCTGGCGACGACTTCCTCCAGCGGCTCACAGTTGAGCTCTGCGCTCCGGCACTGCGGCGGCTAAACGATGCCGCTGAATGTCCCAGAGCATCGCCGTAGCAACGCGAGGACGGGATGGAGTGAGAGAGAGCGAGCGAGAGAGAGAGAGAGAGAGAGAGAGAGGAAGAGGAGTGATGGAGGAGGACAAAGAAGCAGAGAATGTTGCAGAGCGTTACCGTGGTAACTCAACAACGGTTGCCAAGAGTGATGGAATCCTGCAGCCGACAGACCTCCCTCCTCCTCCTCCTCCTCCTCCCAAATTCAAACGTACATAACTTTACGCTCCGTTCAGATGCAAACAGGCATCTCCGTCCGTTCTCCCCTCGCTCGCCCGCTGCATCTGAGAGAGAGAGTGTGTATGTGTGAGTGTGTGTGTGTGTGTGTGTGTGTGGTTTTTAGACAATGATGATGTAATGTTCCTGAAAATGAGAGTCACAAATCCTCTCCAGTCAAGTGGCACCATCACAGAGCCAGTGTGCAAGTGCTGCTGGCGCCCCCTACAGGCCGAACCGCTCCTCACAGCCTTAATGTGAACCGACGCTCCATCATCAGAATAAAACACAGGCCTGGAACACAGCCGTCCTCACAGTATGCTGTCTGGTGTGTGGGAGGTTTTATTTAAAGTAATCAAATGTGACGGGTTGTTTTTTTTTTTTTTTGTTTAGCCTTGAACAAAGCACATTTCCTTCAAGTACTGTTGCACATCANTAATGTTTGTCAGAAACCAAACCGTTTGTAAATCCGTCAAGACTTCAGCGAGATGAGAGTATTTATGTTTGTGCAGATCACTCACCTTCCTCCACAGGTTCTGCCAGAGAGCTGCCCTGTATCAAGATGGCCGAATGGTGATTCTGTTCAGAACACCGCCTTAAGACATCTAGCCTTTATTATACATATCTATGGTTGACTTGGCCTCCAGTTCCACAGAGCTCAGTCTGATCGAGCCGTAAAAACAAGACCGATCCATCTATGTGTCTACGACAGCATCAGTCCCAACATGGACCAGTGTCAGATGGTGAAAGATGCCACATGGCCAAAGGTATGTGGACACCTAAACACTCCGTATGTGTTGGTGGAAGATCTCACTAATCTGTGTGAAAAACCATTTTCCACATCAGTGTGTTTATTCTCTCGTGAAAACATCTAAATCTCAACAAACCCGCATCACAGCGAACCTGCATCATTAACAATGCTGTGTCATCTGTAACATCATTGAAAATGCAGCCATTCAGCCGGTTCCTCTGCAGGGTTTCAGCCCATTCGGCGTCCTCCTGCTCTCTGTAGTCATTGTCACCGTTTTAGTGCAGCCGAATTCATTACACAGCTGTTTCTGCTTACGTAATTTTATGTTTTTGTTGTGCAACGACTCAAAGGGTATGAAATGGAGATTTGATTGTGGTCCATAAACACTACATGTCCCCAAACAGCTGTGCCGCTTAGAAAATCCTTATATTATAATCCTGATGTGTCTGAAAAACAATCATAATAATCATCATCACACTGTGCCAAAATCGTCCCGGTTTACCTCGTAGACTCTGAAACACGAAGCCGGCATTTTCAGGTTTACAAACTCTGGAGGCCATTTTGGGGAAAAACTCCATTTTGGGGGGGAGGAAAAAATGTTTGCCAGGTTTGGACTGAGCCTCAGAGATGTATTTGCCAACGTAACCATCATTCTGTGGATGCTTCTACCAGATGTTGAACCTGGCTGCTCCCATTCAACCAGTTAGTCTATTGACGGAGGACGTCTGGCTCGCTGTCGGCTTTGTGCAGGGGGGCCGTTGGCATGTTGGAACTGGAAAGGGACAAACATGAATAGCTGCCAAAAAGCTGGAAGCAGAGTATTGTCTAAAATATCACTGTGTGCCGCAGCGCTTGAGGAGGACTGCAGTGATTTCACATTTTCAGACTCACAAGGGAGAGTTTAAAGAAAAGGACAGAAATCAATGCAGCAGAACCTCAGATATCGTCTTTTTCTTCCTCGGGGCCGACGTTGGCCACAATGCTTGTTAACCTCTGTGTTCCAGGTGTGTCGGCCTTACAGCAGCTAATGTGGCTCGTTTCTTACAGACTCCAAACGCCTGGAATTGTACAGTTGCAGTGTTCAGCTCCAGCCGAGCCACAGCAGGCTTTTATACACCTGTTCTTCACGTATGAAGTTTGGGGAAATGAATGGCGTCGGCAGGTTTATTAAATTACAGATAATGTCTAGTATAATCAAAAGGAGGAAAGAAATGTTTTTACATGTTTACTTTAAAAAGAAAAAACTGTGCCAAAAACATCTACATCACAAATCTGTATTTTAAAAAATGGTGATGTGTTCATTTGCATTGTTTTACACGATTTTAACTGCATTTAAATCAGCTAAAATACACTTTTTTTTTTTTTTACAGCAATTTGGTGTTATCTGAAAAAAAAAGTGTATTAAGGACTGAAAAATGCGAAATAAAATTTCTTTTTTTTACTGTTATTTGCCGATTTTCCCTGTTTTGTTAATGTACAGATATTAACAAAATCCTAGAAAAAAAATTTATTTACATTTTGATTAAAAAACAGTAGGTCAAAGCTGTAAATAATGTCAACATCAAAAATCTACATTTCTATAAAAAGCAATCTGTGCTTTTGCAATGTTTGATAGTTAAATTACAAAATGTTTCCTGTATTTGAATCAGCAAAAATTATTGTCATTTTAAAGATACTTACGGTTATTTAAAAAAAAAAAAAATTTAATTGAGAAATTATCATTTTGTTGTTTTGTTTTTTAAAATTTTGCTGTTATTTTACAGATTTTCCCTCGTTTGGTTAATGTGTAGATAATATCTACTAAAATCACAGAATTTTTTTTTTATTATTAATTTACATGTTGACTGTAAGTAAAACAGGCCATAAATCAAAATTCTGTATTTTTTTACTATTATTTGTTCTTTTACAGCATGTGACTGCAAAGTCTTTAACTGTATTTAAATCAACGGTATTCTACCATTTAATACCATTTTTGTTCGATTGTTTTTACAGACGATATAGTGCATCTACCATCAAAAACGTTTAGTTATTTATTTATTTTTTCGAAAGTGGAGTCGTTATTTCAAAGTTGTAAAGACGTTGACGTGGTTGCTTTTAGAGCCAAACTGAAGGAACGGTGATGCACAAAGCTGAACTCCTCTTTGGGAATCTGTACTCTCATGAGTTTGCTTTTTAGCTTTGAGGATTAGCGTTGAACCGATTCATGAATACAGTCCTTGTGTATTTTAGAAGAAGCCAAACCCATCTGATCGCAGCCATTTTTTTCTGCTGATGCGCACACAGTCATCCTGCAGAAACGATCCTCTAAGACAAGAGGTTCTGCCTCCAACCAAGGGTCAGAAGATAAATCTGATGGGTCACAACATGACCACCGGGGGAGAACAAAAAGGGAAAGACATATTACATTTCTCCTCATAACTTGACTCCAGTATTTGACTTTCTGATAAATAGCAGGAGGAGTTTAGAGTTTCTGGCCTCCAACAGTTTGAGGTCAGAAGGTGGAGAAACAGGGGAGCTGCTTCTTGTCTTGTTGGACAACTCTCTCTTTTTCTGTGTATTCGGCAGCCGCTTAGCTTAGCGTAGCATCGAGACAGGACACTGAGGAAAACAGGTGGTTTGAATGATCAGAGCTTATTTTTGGCAGCACGAGGGAGTCCTACACGATACTACATGGCTGGTTTTAGAAAAGAGTCAGGTAAATATTTTCAATAAATAAGATTGTAGAGTTGTAACTTAATATTTGTAACACCTCCTCCTTAATATTTATAGCCCCAAACATTTATATATAAAACCATACTGTAGGGTCAAAACTTAATATCTAAATTAGTCCAGTAAATTTGTGTAATAAATAATATTATAGGGTCTTAACCTTCATATGTTAATGAGTCAGATGAATTTCTTATAAATAACACTGCAGATTCAAAACTGTAATACTTAATTAGTCAAGAACATTTGTATAATAAATAATATAGTCGAGTCTTATCCTTAATATTTAAATTTAGTCAGGAAAATTTGTACTATTGTTCTATTTCTTTATTTTAAAAGCACTTTGGATCAACACCTGTTGTTTTAAATGTGCTCACTTTATTGTGACTTGGCTTGAATATTTAACATACTTTAATATTTTGTGTAAATAAATAAAAAGTCTGTGAGACAACTCTCTATGTATGCAAATATAATAAACAAATGTTCCCTATGTGTTACATGTAACATTAACACACCTAAAACAAAACCTTACATCATGAATTTTAATTACAGTTCTCTTGAAATCCTTCATTTAGACGAAACAAATGTGTAAAACTGTGACGCAGGAGTGTTAAATCCACGCGGGTCGGTATGATTTCACAAAAACGAGGACCTTTCATGATTAAAAGCGAGACTTTTTAGAAACATTTCACGCCCGTAAATTGTGAACCTGCTCAGATGTGAGACCTTTGAAGGCTCCGCAGAGACTCTGACGGATGATGTAATGAGGCTGAAGCATCAATCGGACACTGAATCAAACAATTTTTCTCTTTCTCTGCCTTCATCTCCGTGTCTCTCTCTGTCTCGCTGCTGATCTGTCGATCTTTTCGCAGAGAGTTTGCTGCATCGCAACGCTCTGCCGTTACCATGGCAACTATGGGGAACAAGAAGAAAGGCAAGTCGCTTTTTTTTTT